AGACTGTCTCAAAAAAAAAAAAAAAAAAAAAAGATAATGATTCTAGGTGAAGCATGAATCAAGTGCCTAGGAGAACGGGAGAGAAAGAGACCAACACTCCTGGGGATATCAAAGGAATCACAAAGGTAGTGTCAATGAGCTCATTTTTAAAGAGGACCAACAGTCCACAAAATGTGGGCCATGATATGCAACATATGGCCAACAGTCAGATATTCTTAAGTATCAAACACTGTCATACACTAAACAGAAATTTACTGTTTATTGGGTCTTCCAACTTAAAATTTTGTTTATTCACTAATGAATTATAACCAGACTAAAATATATGATATGCAAAATAATTTGTAAATTCAGATCATGCATCTCTGCCTGAACATAATTCCATCAAAATACTAAGCACTATAATCCTATTTATAACCCAGGTAGCATTTTTCTTTTCTTTTTTTTTTTTTTGCAACAGGATCTCACTTTGTTGCTTGGGATAGAGTGAAAAGGTGTCATCATAGCTCACTGCAACCTCAAACTTCTGGGCTCAAGCAATCCTTGTGCCTCAGTCTCCCAAGTAGCTGGGACAAAAGGCACATGCCCTATGCCCAACAAAGTTTTGCATTTTTTGAAGAGATGGGGTCTCACTATGTTGGTCAGGCTGGTCTCAAACTCCTGGCCTCAAGTGATCCTCCCACTTCATCCTCCCAAAGTGCTCGGATTATAGGCGTGAGCCACCACATCTAGCCCAGATAGCATTTTTCTTATGTTCCTAAAGAAACCAAGCAAACTTCTTCTGAGGGTTTTTTAATATCCTTATATACATACTGACAGACCTTCCTTCATTCAGAAATGGCTTCTCTAACATTTCCATTTCACATGGAACTGAACCTACAATTGTTTATGAATCAGACTAAACTTTCCCAAGAATGTGTAGATAACAAACAATTCATAAATAACTGTTCAGTTTTATAAGGCAAAACTATTAAATAAAAATATCTGTAGGTGAACCATTTAGAACAGTTTCCTGACTGTTTTCC